GATGGGTCTAGGAATCAAATCAGTACATATTCATCAGGCCCTAGGATGCAGTGCATTACACAGGACAATAGGGAGAGGTCATCAGTCTTTTAAATTTCCAAGTTTTAAGAAGTAAGCCTTTTTTGGGGGGTACTGGCAGGTAAATTTTAGGGGTGGGACCTTGGGGAAGGTTTGTGAAATACACCACTGATGCCAGAGGAAGCCACTAAGTGAATGTGCTTGTAAAGGTTCCTATCAAGCCTTTTGCCATTGGGCAATTTAAAGCATGGATGAAAGACCTTTTGGGGGGACAGAACTCTTTGAGGCTCAGAAGGCACTTGGAAGGTCAGCTTGGGACCAGGGTGTAGTGTTAAGATTTCCTTCCCTTACTTCATTCTGAGAAGTCTGATACAGTGACATTAGCTAATGAAACATCTCTGGCTGCAGCAAGGAGCATCTGCATTGCTCCTTTCCGACTCAGGGTAACCCTAACCATTGCATTTCCCTGACTAGGTCAGTGACAGATGTATGCTTTCCACAGTAACCCTTCTAGTCATCACCTATTTATTTCCTCTCCCATTCTCCACAGACCCTTCACCACCCCCTTCTCATGACCTTGACTCTGATTTTCTTGAAAAGACATAGGTCAGCCTACTCAGCTCTCACTCCCACAACTCATCTTCTATATGCAAAATCTCTGCACTTTTGTTCTGTCTGCTTTGCCATTGTTTGACTTTAGGTTCTCTTGCCCCCCTTAACTCCTCCTCCCTTTTCTATAGATGCTCTCACTTTTGGCAACCTTGGCCATGCCATTTCTGGAATGAATTCTCTCTACCCAGTGATTTCCTAATTGGCACCTCCAGTCCTACTTTGTCCTCTGAGTCACAGGCCCTCCTCTTATAAGATCACAGATCGTTCTTGCTGGGATGTAAAGAATTCTGAAAGAAATCTGCATTCCCAAAAGACAACTGTGTTAGCTTTATTGTACAGTACCGCACACTGTGTATATCTGTTTTTGCGCCACAGTCACAGAGTTGAATAATTGTATCAGAGACAGTGAGTGACACTCTCATTACCCCACTGCTGTTGCTTAGCCACCACAAATTGTAGTAGTGAGCATTTTATCTTTTGTTGTTAGTGCATGCCCATTGTTTTCTTTGTTTTGTTTTGGTGAGACAGTCAGGGTTAAGTGACTTGCCCAGGGTCACACATCTAGTAAGTTTCAAGTGTTTGAGGCCAGATTTGAACTCAGGTCTTCCTAGGCCAGAGTTCTATCTACTGTGCCACCTAGCTGCCCCGTGCCCATTGTATCAAAATAAGAGAAGAGAAAAATGGATTAAATATTATGTTTTTAAGACACAATGGAGTGTGGGTTATTTTGTTATTGAATTCTGTGGCTAAGCATTGTGTTTCCTCTGCATTGCCACTGTATCTGTGCTAAGGAAATACAAACATACAGTAACATTAGCAGACTCAGTAAGCATTTGTTACCTTATTCCCAACTCACAGGAAACCAACAATAGAAAAATTCCAAAATTAAAACAATATCATAGTTGAATTTCTTGACAAAAAATTTTTTAAAAGGAGTAAGGTTGCAACTAAAGCAATTGTCCAAGTGGCTCATTACTAAGCCAAGTAAAGAAAGCTGATGTTGAGTTAATTTAATCATATTTAATTGTAACAGGTGAGGAAATATGTCTTGTTTGAGACTTGTTAGCCTTTTCACTCGTATTTGATAGAATCTGTTTACATGAAAAGACATTTTCAAAGATGAAATACATAAAATCTCTTTACAGATCAGTGTTAATAGATGAACATTTGCAATTGATTTTTGATGGTAGGAAACAAAACTTTGAACGCCAGTTAAGTGATATCTTATTGCCCTCAAAAGAATTCATTTGTTCTCATTAGTAGACTTGTGTTACAACAAAATGTTGCTCAGCTAACATTATTGTATTCTGAATTTCACCAGTTAAAAAAATTTGGGGAATCTGTTCTCTCTTGTTATATAAGTACCTGTATAATATCCTCAGTTTTGCTTCTTGGCCTGAAAAGTCTAAAATATTAACTATCTGATCCCTTATAGAAAGTTGCTGACCCTTGCTCTAGACCAGTGGTTTCCAGCCTGTGTCATTTGCAAGTGGTCTGTGAATTTATAAATAAGCAAATCTGCCCACTGAAGACCGTCTCCCACATGTGAGAATCTGCAGCATCTTTTGATGTTAAAAAGGGGTGGTCATACCCAAAGATTGGGAAGCACGGTCTCTGCCAAACTAGAACCTTCCTTGTAGTGGTTACGTTCAAGACTTTTGTGCCCTGAGTTTACCACAGATTGTACTTGGCATTTGTTGGAAATTTTCTTCAGAGTCACTTTTAGTACCAAGTATAATACAGTATTATTATTTTTTTTAATTTTATATATATATACACACACACACACACAAATTTATATATGTACCTATACATCTGTGTGTATGCCATGTTATGTGTGTGTATATCATAAGGGGTGGTACATCCTAGGGTGATATTGAGTTCTCCCTCACCCAGACTCCTTCAGCAACTCTAGGATAAAACAGAGAAGGTGTTTGGCAGTTAGAGCTGTCCATAATCTGCCTCCCTTACTTTCCTTATTTCACACTATTGCCTTTTATACATCATACAGGTTTCTTGGAACTCCAGCTATTCTGCTCCTTTCTAAACTGAGCATTCTGTCTCTGGCCTTCGTGCATCTGGGGAAGCACTCCTCAGTCTCTCTTAGAATCCTTAGGTTCCTTCAAGGCCTAGTTCAACTGTCATCTCCTTGATTTCCTTCCTTCCCCTGAGTTATTGGTGCATTCTCTCTCCTTGTTTTGTCTTACACCATACTTCTTTATGTGCCTCCCAAATCCCAAATAGAATGTAAGGTGCTTGAGAAGACTGTTTTCATATACCTGCATTCAGTAGGTAATTAATAAGTGTTTGTTTTGATTGAATTATTAAAGTTGTAAAGCTGATATCAGAATTTAGACCTTAGTGTCGTCCCCTTCAAAGAAGTTACCGTGAGAGACTACCCACTTATTCTAGTATTTATCTGGTGCTAAAATGTCTTTTATAGAATGAAGGGATCATGCTTGTCCTTTCTTGACTTTCATATTCTCAAAGGTTAGAGCTATACCCCATTCCTTGTGTAATCCTTGCTTCCCTTAATAAACAATAAACAATGGGTGAAAGGTCCTTAAAGTCTTTTTTGATTTCTTCCTATTCTCAACCAGTATTTCCTCTTGACACAGGGCATGTAGTCAAGTCTCACTCTCTTTCCTTTTGTGTAAAAAAGTTCTTTGTCTCAAGGCTTCTAAGATTTTTCAGTTTCCAAAGGGGGTGGCCTTTTATTTTGGTAGATTGGGATTTGGTAAACGTTTGTATTAACCTGACAAAGAAGAGCATGAGAGAAGACTTCTGGGTCACTTCTGGAGGTGAGTTCTAGTCAGAAAGACTTTGTGGAGGAAGGAGGTGGGGTTTGACATTGGGCCTTAGGCCAGTAACTCCCTCTCTCTCAGACTCATTTTCCGTATCTGTAAAATGAGAAGATTGGATGGGGTGACTTTTGAGGTTCCCTTTGGTTCCAGGCTCCTCTGAACATCATTGTAGAGGCCGAGGCCTTTTTTTGTTCCAGCCCCTATCTTTTTCTAACTCTCATAGCAGCAGCCAGGCCCCTCACCAAGTCTTTTTCTTTCAGTAGACGTTACCTTCTCCCATTCAGTCATCCAACAAGGATGTACCTAGGAGCAGGCAGTGTACTGTGCTCAATGCTGTGAGTCATGGAGGAGACCAAGAGACAGCCCTGACCCTCAACGAATTAACAAGGAACATTGCCTCGTCCAAAGGAGACACTTGATGTTTGTGGAGTTGAAGAGACAGAAAATAAAAACAGGAGTTTATTATTATAATTTATGTGCTGCTTTAGCATAGTTTTACAAAGACGATCATTACAAGTCCTGAATGAGTATGGCAGGTCTCAGAGAAACAGATCATTGTGCTGTCTGCTAGGGGTACAAAGAAAAGCAGTAATTTGCCCTCAGGGAACTTAACCTGCTAAGTGGGAAGACAAGGGGGAGCTCATTAGGCAGCATAAGGTGTCTCCAGAGTAGATGACAAGTGATCTTCAAGGGAGAGGGCTGGGAGGGTGGGGGTGGGGGAAGATCAAGGAATAACTCGTGGAAGGGATAGAAATTGGACTTTGAAGGATGGGGCTAATACTGGAAAGGCAGAGAGGAGTGGAGAGGACATTTCCAGCAGAAAGTTGTAATATACTGATGGTTTGGGTTTTTGTTGTTTAGTTTTGTTTTATAAAGAGCCATAGGAAAGGTTGACTCACTGATTCCATCAGTTACATTGTTGCATGCGTCTCTCTTAAATTGGTAAATATAAGTCTAGATTCTTAAAAGATAAGTTTGTGTGATAAAAAGGATTCCTTTAAATAGTAATCTTTACTATGATCAGAGAGCAGCTAGGTGGCACAATAGATAAAGCACCAGGCCTGGAATCAGGAAGACCTGAGTTCAAATCAGCCTCAGGCACTTACCAGGCAAGCAAGTTTCCTCTTCTGTGAAATGAGCCAGAGAGGGAAATGGCAAACTACTCCAGTATCTCTGCCAAGAAAACCCCAAATGGGGTCAGGAGGAATTGGACATGACTGAAACAGCTGAACAGCAACCACTCTGACTGGATTTAAACCAATCACAGATGACACTTATATGACATTTTAAGGTTTGCAGAGTACCTCTTACTTGCATTATATCACATGATGCGTATAACAGCTCTGTGAGATAGGCACACCACAGATGAAGACACTGAGGTTTGGACAACTGAGTGACTCACGCACGGCCGCCTAGTCAGTGAGTGTCAGAGGCTGGACTTGAACCAGATCTCCGTGACTTTGTGGCCTTTGCCATGTAACTGGCCACTGTACTCATGAGAGCTGAAGACGAGGTCTCGTGTGTGGTGCTTCTTCTGGATGCTTCTTGGTTCTCTTCTCTCTGCAGGTATTTCATGCATGGCGTGTGTCGTGAAGGGAGCCAGTGCTTGTTTTCACATGACTTATCAACAAGCAAGCCATCCACAATCTGCAAGTTCTACCAGAAAGGCTGCTGTGCCTATGGATCTCATTGCAGGCAAGAGCATCCCACTATACCCAGCACACACAGAGCTCCAGTGTGAAAGGGCCCTGAGAAGGAGGAACAGGCTACCGTCACTCGACTTCTCCTAGTGGGTCTGAGTTGGGGCAGTAGAGGTGATGGGTGGGGCATCCTCCTGAGCGAGTGCTGGCAGCTTTCTGCCTTCTAAGCAGAACTCCCCTGCCCCCCAACCCTTGAGAGGGGGTGGCTGCTGATAGTCATCCTGTTGAGAAGCCATTTCTCAAAACATCGTAACCAACTGGAATTGTTACTTTCCAGACCCAATAGTAACCGTTATTTTGGGATTATAGTCTGGGCACTTCCTAGCATGTATATTCCTAATAGTTTTGGGATTTCCCAGGGGACTAAAAACATCATGGTGAGCTCTCTTATTTTTAATGACTATTCAAATTGTGCAATGATAATCAGATTGAGTTTACAAGAATTTTTTTTATCATGGAGAGTCATCTTCAAATTGGCTTGCAGATGCAGTGTTTTTTAAAAATTAACTCTATTCACTTAGCAAAACCAGGGTATGTGTACTCTCTACATCTCTTGTTTATTTCTGAGTTTAAAAAAGCACCTTTATTTCCAAAGTGGTTTTAGGTGTGTGTTATTTTATATTTATAAATGTGAGAGAGAGAGAGAGAGAGAGAGAGAAGAGAGAAGATGATGATGATGATGATGATTTGTAATTTGCAAATGAGAAAACTGAGAGGTGACCTAGTTAAGATGTACCCAGCCCTGGGCCTGGATCACATTATATCACACAGACAGGTTATGAGTCAGTGCTGAGTGATGAGTGTTTCTCTTGCGGTGAGAGCTCCAGAGCATTTTGTCTTCAGCCAGTTAACAGGTACTACAGAGTTGCTATTCTTCAGGACCTTCCATTTTGTGTGTATCTGAATACACACGGACACTAAAGACAGTAGCTCGGAAAGAGGATACTGCCATTGGGGGGGATCAGGAAAAGCTTTGGGGCACTGTGTCTGCCTTTTTTAAAGGAAGAGAGGAATTCTGTGAGGCTGAGGGCAGGAGGAGGGACAGTGACCAAGGCAGCCTCTCTGAAGCAGTAGAAGCCCAATATGTCTTGGAGGTGGACGGATGAGTGCTAATCATCACATGCTTCCTCTTAATTGTAGGATTGGGAAATTAGAACTGGACGGAGCCTTAGAGACCATCTCATCCAACAGATGAGGAAACTGAGGCCCTGGGATTTGAAGGGACTTGCCCAAGGGGACAGAGCGAGTGGAAATCAGAGGCCAGATTTAAACTTGGGTCCCTTGGCTCCAGAGCACTTGTTCTTTAAAAGGCTCACTCTGTTGTAGGACTCAGAGATTTACAGAGCTCTTTACTCATAAAGCCCTGTGAGCCAGGGAGGTAGTGCATGTGTTATCACACCCATTTTATAAATAGGGAAACAACCTCAGAGAAGCTGGAGAGTGAATTTCTGAGAGTCATGTGGAAGCTGGTGGCTGAGCTGGTGCTCGAGCCACGGTCTACTGACTCCTCAGCTCTCTCTACTCCAGTACCCACAGACTTTATTGTGATTGAATTACTGCCCATGAATGAGTGAATAGCCTCACAGTACACCTGGAAACTATAGCTGCATTTGCAGGGATTCTCTTTCCTAGCTCAGGAGTGGTTTTGTTTTTTTTTTAGATGTATGTCACCAAGGAATTCTTTCTTCTTTTTATTTTGGTTTTAGATTTTTGCTGAGTGGGTCTCTTTCTATGCCCTGGTCACCACTATTTTTAACCTCAGTTCCCATAACTTTTGACTTTCCAGGTCCTCTAGTCCAACCGTGTCATTGTAAAAACGAGGGAACTCTGAGTAAGAATGGACTCTCAGAGGGCACTAGAAGCCATTGACAGGTGTTGACCACCATCCGTCCCCTAGATGTACTTGAGCCTTTGGCCCCTGGACAGTTGTACACAGAGCATGAGTCCAGAAGAGCCATCATCCAGGGTGCTTGCATGCGTGACGGAGAGTGACAGCATGCCAAATGTCTGTGTCCTTCTCTGTTGGCTGTTTCAGATATGACCACATGAGGCCAGCAGCGATGGCCAGCAGTGGTGCAGCGGGTGCCGGGCCTCACAGCCTACCTTCACCAATTTTTCACAGTCCACACCCTCATCCTGATGTGACTGCGTCTTTAATGAAAAGCAGCTCCCACGAACCTGGCAAGCGTGAGAAGAGAACGCTGGTGCTGAGAGACCGGAGTGAGTGGCAGAGCCGGCGTCTGTCCTTGCACTCTCCTTTCCTACCCTCTCCGCACTACCCCCCCTTTGTCATTGGCTTTCTGCACGCCTGCTTGTTCCGAATTGGGCATCTTTTATGGAAGAGACTGAGGAACTGTGTTCTGCCCAGGGACCGAATTCTCCTCTGTGTCTCCTTCTAGCTTTCCTAGATAGAAAAACCAAACCGGTATGACCAGGGCAATGTAACTGAGTGGTCAGTAAGTCATTCCTGGCCGGCATTCTGCCTCAAGCACAGTAGCACAGCACAGCTTGAGCTTGAATTGCCTCCCTCTGATTTTATCATCTCCATAAAATAAAATCGTGACCTTAGAACAATTGTCATTTCAGTTGACTGGCAGCTGCCTTCTCCTTTGGTGAGTAGTCATATCTGGGTTTCAGTGCTAAGTACTTGGGATAATTATGACATCTCATCTTCTAACTCTTAACAGATACACTGTCCTTGTTTAATTCTTTATTAAACTCTTGTTCTATAGCTTTATTGCATGTTTGGGGGCTATTGGAAGGTTGTCTCTTGAATAATTTGGGATCCTTAGAAGGAAAGGAATTGTATAAAGTATTTTTAATGGGTGGCCCTTAGCAGGTGAAGGAGTTTCTGGAACAAACTTTGTCTTGGAAATGGACAGTAGAACATAAAATGCCATACTGGGTCAGACCAGTGCATTATCTATCCCAGCATTCTGTCCAGTGGTCAGGGCCACTGAAGTGCATGTGTGGTGGGTGAGCAAAAGTCAAGGTTTCTTGAATAGGGAATTCTTGCAGATTAGCTCAGCATTGACATTGACTTCAGGGAAAGGGTTCCTAAGGGCTTCCTTCAGATTCTCTGGCTATTTTCTGCTCTGTTTATATGCATATGCCTTGGTGTGTTTTTGTGTGTTAAGATCTGTGTGGCTTAACTGAAGAAAAGACCAGGCCCTGTGCTGTGAGTGACCTGGGAGGTTGCAGTTACTCAAACCATAGCGTGGAGATGAAGCCTCATTCCTACTTAGACGCCATCCGGAGTGGCCTGGGTGGTCTGGAAGCCGGGAGCTCAGACGGCAACGAGCAGCAGCTGTGCCCCTATGCGGCCGCTGGCGAGTGCCACTTTGGAGACGCTTGCGTCTATCTCCATGGGGATGTTTGTGAGATCTGTAGGTTACAAGTCCTGCATCCTTTTGACTCAGAGCAAAGAAAGACGCACGAGAAGGTAAAGAACAAAATCCCTTGTGCTCTTTTTAAATTATTTTTCTAAAGGCAATTCAAACTGCATAAAGTAATATAAAGTTGTCAACTTTCCCCATGCCTGGCCAAGACACCACAGGAATCAACAATGCCTGGTGTTCCTGTGCTTTAGAATAGTGTGTGAAACAGGAGAGTAGTGATGTGAACCTGTTCTAGGAACTAGCATTTGCCTAGAAATTATATGTAAGCTCTAGGACTTGGGCAAAATGATGTCAATTTTTTAAAATCTATTTTTACTTAGCTCTAGAATGCAGCCAAATTCTCATGTCTGTGGGTCTGGCCCTTCAGGTCTAGCCGGGGGGGGGGGGGAGCTGGGCAGGGCTTAGGGAGAAGGGCTCAAGGTGCTGTCACCAATCTGTGTAGATAATGGAAGGAAGGTAGTCAAGACAATGCTAAAGTGACTTTGGACCATGAGAATCTTGAGTCTTGTGTTGTGAAACTTTGTAGCCCCCTCTAATAATGTAAGGGATCTTTCTGTATGTCTGTCTGTCTGTTGGGGCTGCTCTGAGACTTGAGAATAGGAGGAGGTAGGCACCGAGAAGAGCCCTGGGCTGCACCCTGGGTCTGAGCCTGATCAGAGGCTCTGCCCCCTCACAGTTCCAACTGATGGTTCTTTAGCCCTTCTGGCAACAGCCTTAGTATACTGGAAAGACTGCAGCCAGAGGAGCCGGGGAGCAGAGCTCTGTCCCCTGGTCAGCAACTGGCTAGGGGGCCATGGGTGTCAGGAGCTCATCATCCCTGCCCCCTGCTGAGGTTCAGCCCTGTAGTCTGGCATGGACCCAGTTTATGTTGTCTTCCTCTCCTTGCTGCAGAGGATTCTAAAAACCCATCTCTTCCCTTGTTCGCAACACAGCTCTGCATGGCAACCTTTGAACACGACATGGAGAAAGCCTTTGCTTTCCAGGCAAGTCAGGAGAAAGTATGTAGCATCTGCATGGAGGTGGTCTATGAGAAACCATCAGCCTCGGAGAGGAGGTTTGGGATCCTGTCCAACTGCAGCCACACATACTGTCTGTCCTGCATCCGACAGTGGAGGTGCGCCAAGCAGTTTGAGAATCCCATCATCAAGTAAGTATCGCACACAGGCAGGCAGGGCCGGGCCTTTAGAGACTTGTAAGCGTCCCTGCAGTCAGGTGGACGTGCGCTCAAATCCTGCCTCAGGTGACTATTAGTGTGTGACCGTGGACAAGCCATTTGGTCTGGCTGCCTTAGTTTCCTCATCTGTAAAGTAGGGATAATAATACTGCTTACTTGACAGGGTTGTTTTGAGGATAGAATAATATTTATAAAGCAATAGCACTTTGCAAACCTTAGAACTCTAGATAAGTACAAGCTGTGATTGTATTTTGTGTAAATTTTATAACATACAAAATATAACAGCACACTAGTTAATATAATAACAACAGCTAACATATAGTGCTGGGCGTGTGCTAGGTGCTCTACACTTACTACTTCGTTGGATCCTCACAATAACCCTGCACGGTGAATGCTGTTATCCATCCCCATAGTGCAGATGAGGAAACTGAGGTGTACAGTTACAATAAATAAGTATATATATTTTGGGAGTCTTTGCCCAGAAATGTTTTATTTTGAGGGTTGTGCTTACTTCCTTTTTCCAAGAATTTTTTTCTCCCTATCCCCTTGGTTCCTACCTACCTTATATACCCTTGTACCTCAAACAGGCAGTTTGATGTAACAGAAAGAGACAGAATCCCTAGCCAGGTTCAGTAGTAGCTCTTACACTTAAGAGCTGTGGGACTGGGCAAGTCAGCTTTAGCCTCTCTCTGAATTTCAGTTTCCTCATCTGTATAATGGAGGGTAGTAGTCCTTGTGTACTGCTTACCTGTCTCATAGGATTGCTGTGAGGAAAATGAACTAGTAATATTATCACAGTCATGGCTCTGAGAGACTCCCTTTCTCAGGAGTATTTGCATTTTTAATAGAAGACTACAAAAAACCTTGTAAAGACTTTAGGATTCAAGGGGGTGGTTTGACTAATGGTGAATTACTGAAGGCAGTAAGGGGGTTTTAGTCCAAAGGAGAAGACATTCGGGGAAGGGAGGATGCAACTGAAGGGCTGCCGTGCTGGAGAGGAAGTAGCTCCAGGAGCTCTCCTCATCTGTAAAAGGAGAAGTGAGACTTGGCCGGGGGGGGGGGGGGGGGGATTGGAAGGGCCCTTTCAACTCCATTTCTCTGATCCCTGTGAACAGGGGCCAACATGGAAGCAGGTGTAGCTCTCCCTTCCTTGGCAGAGGGTGAATGGGCTATCTCACAAGGCAGAGTGAGTCCTTGTTACTTAGAGATGGTCAAGTGGAAGCTGACAGTCATTTGTTAGGAATCCTATGGAGGGAGAGGAGGCCAGACCTGAGGCATCTTCCACTTTGGGGATTTTGTCTGGTCTTTGAGTTTAGGCACTAATGGAGGCAATAAAGGGAGATGTTTTTGATAGGGGGCTTTGCCTTGGAATCATCAAGGTTTATCAGAGTTTATTTGTACTATGTTTTGGTATCTTGCCTCTCCTGCTAGATGGTAAGCATACCTGGAGGGTAGGTAAACACATCTTGTTCACTGTACATCCTGGCAGAGTGTCGTGTAAACTCTGAATTGAGGTCATATGATTGAATTCATGTGTCTTTATCATTCTCACCGAGGGATTTTCCCCTGGTTCTCGTTGCAGTAAAATATATTCTGGTTTGGCTGCTTGAAGTGACTAAAGTAACCCCAAATACCAATCCAGTTACTGTATGGGGCTGCTCATTTATCCTGACTTTGTTGATGCTTGTTACAGGTCCTGTCCAGAATGCCGGGTAATATCTGAATTTGTCATTCCAAGTGTGTACTGGGTTGAAGACCAGAATAAGAAAAATGAACTGATCGAAGCATTTAAGCAGGGCATGGGGTAAGTGATGAAGGGGCTGCATACTAGGAAGTCCTATGAAAGCTTTCCCAAATGAAGGGCTCTGAGCCAGGGCCCAGGCAGACCCGACCCTTTCAACTCTGCTGCAGCTCCTAAGCACTCCCCCAAAGAGCCCTGTCACATCTGACAAGGAGGCAGCTCACCTGGCAAGAAACACACTGGATTCCTACCAGGAAGAGTTCACATTATGAGGTTACCTTGGTTAGTTTCCATTGCTTACTTCATCATATCACTTTCATCTCTCAAGCTTTTCAATTTCTTGAAGACCTCTCACTAGTTTCTTGTAACCTGCCTTTTCTCTTTGTCTGTTCTACTTAACCTGTGGGTGAATGAGTTGTGACACATTAACTGTTTCTTACATTTGTATTTGGTGAACACTGTGCTGACTTTTAGCTGCCTCTGGTCACTGTGTATATATATTATTGGTATTTCTGGGATCTTACGGACACAAGGCACACTGAGTCAGAGTCCTCCTGCTGAGGACTCTGTCCTTGATAGGAACAAAGGGATCTTTGACGAGAGAACATTAAGGAGATCTTGTTACTCCTTAGTGTGAACCCCTTATGGGTTGGTCTCTTCTGGGTAGATAGCTTGGAGTATCATGGTATCCTAGACCAATATTCTCCAGTGTACCTGAAGTCTGTTTTTCTAATGGCAAGCACTTCTATACACTTTGTGGCTCTGTCCTTCGAGGCCTAATCTTTACATACAGCAATTATTTTGTCCCTCTGAGCCTTTTAACTGCCTTAAATCCCAGTTGATCTTGGAATCTAGAATTGGGCTTTAACAAAGGTCTACCCATAAACAAGATTCACAGTGTTTATTGGTTTCATCTCTCCTAGCTTGTTGGATTCATAACTATCTGGCTCTCACTGGTCTCATTTTGAGAATGGGTTATGATTTCCAGAGGAAGGTGGAAGTGTATTTTTACACACATGTATGCTCAGAAAGGACCTCCTTGATTTCCTAATAATGGACATTTCTAATTCTGCAGCAACTAAAACAGACTGACTTCAAAGCTTTGTGAATGCTTATGGGATAATGCACTAGGGGGTTGCTATCAGAATAAGAAGTAATGCTGCTACTGCACCCCCATGTCTAACATGGGAAACTCATAAGCCTGGAGGCAGCATCACATTGTGGATTCTAGTCCCATTTCTGCTGCTGACCTACTATGTGATCCGCAGCAAGCTCCTGCTCCTCACAGGGCCCCAGGTTCGTCTCCTCTGATTATAAAATATTTTAAAGAAGACATCATCTGGGTCTCTGGAGTCAAATTCAGATGGAAACCAGATCCCTGCAACTGCACGGGGGATACTTGTATGTAGTTTTGTCAGACATTGCAATCTGCAGCTGCCCCACGTCTGACCAAACCTCTGAGCTGGACAATGTACAGTGTTTCTTCTAGCCCCGAGTTTTGCGAAAGAAAAATAAAATCTTTTGATGTGGCAGATGTTAGCCAGCACTTGCATGTAAGAGCTTCCCAGGAAGCCCAGGAAGAACTGAGGAGCTGGCCCTTAGCTGCCTCATGTTGAGGAAGCATGAGGATATCACAACAACTCTAAGAGGAGAGGGAAGGGTGGAGCCAGCAGGGGCTTCATCACTATTTCTGTGTCACAGATCCCTGAGGATTCTTGTCTATTATAAACAGCTGTAATGAGAAGGATGATTTGTTTTGAATTCATAATGGAAAGATACATTTCCATTTTAGATTTTGGTGAAAATATGTAATTTGTTCCCCATCCAACTGAATGAACTTCCTGCAATAGTCTGCTGAGTTTATTGGACAGGCTGTCTGGCCCTTGTCTTTGGATCACAGGCCACAGCCTTAGCCGTAAAGGTTAGATTATCTCCTTTCCAAGACAGAGACCAGGCCAGACAATAAGGCCCACTTTTTTGTTTTCTTTCTCTCTCAAGGAAAAAAGCCTGTAAATACTTTGAACAAGGCAAAGGGACCTGCCCCTTTGGAGGAAAATGCCTTTATCTCCATGCTTACCCAGATGGGACAAGAGCTGAACCAGAGAAACCTCGAAAACAGCTCAGTTCAGAAGGCACTGTGAGGGTAAGGAGCAGGAAGGGTGGCAAGTGGCCGTTTGCCCTTCTGGAGGGCCGGATTGGTATGCTAGGTTTTTAAAAATACACCTTGACCCACCCTTTAGGATCTCTGTGCATCTGGACCCCTCTGGGAGGCCAGCGTCCAAAGAGATCAACCGAGTCAGTAGAAAAGTTGTTCTTTTGGAGAATGTTTCTTGTTTTCTTTCCTTTTTAAAAGCTAGGCTTGAATGCTCTTTTAGTTATTAGGGGCTACATTTCATGGTTATTTCACTGACCAGAGCTGGAATGGTTTGGCTTCTTGGCTATGTGTTTTGCAGTTCTTCAATTCTGTCCGGCTTTGGGATTTTATTGAGGACAGAGAAAGCCGGCACATCCCAGCTACTGAGGAGGATGATGTAACCGAACTCGGTGACCTTTTCATGCACCTTTCAGGAGTGGAAGAGTCTGCCTCGAATCCTTGAGAGTGAACTGAAGCCCCCTCCCCAGCCCACCCCCTTGCCATCCCATACTCTAGGCTCTCTGCCGGACCAGGCCTATGTATTTAGAGAGGGTGTGCTGCAGAGTTTTACATTTACTGCAACGGTAGTTGATGTGTCGCTTGGATTAAGTGAGGTTGTGTTAAACCTTTGTCTGATCCAGTCTCCATTATTACAGCAATGGAAACACTGAAGGCTATAAAATAAAAAATTAACAGAAGTATATGTAATCTCCATTTTCATGGTTAATTAATTCTCCAGTTACTTTTATGCTTCTGTATGGCTGTCAGCTGAAGACCAGACTAGCTAAGGTTGAAGAGGTTCATCAGCGGGTTGGCCACAGTATCCCTTGAAGATTATCTACTAAGTCGTAGGCTTGTGACCATCACTGGCAGAGGAGGCACCCACCCTGCCAAAGTGACAGATCCTTGAGAGTATCCAAACGGTATTCGTGTACATGGTCCTTGCCTGGTGGGGGAAAACACGAGGGCCATCCAATCTGAGACAGTGACTGGCGACACAAGGCGCTTTTCTGCTTGCTGCATTCTTTTGCCCTTCCTAGGTTAGCCCATGTGGCGTATGTACCCCGTAAGCAAAACCCAGTATATGAACATCCAGATTTACAGAGTAAAGAAACAGTGAGGCAGATTCTTTGCGTCCTCCCCCTTGTGCCAGCTATCTTCCCTCGGACATTTTAAATGATCCAAATTTCAAAAATCTTATTTTACACCTTTTCAAGGCACACATATCATAGAAAATAAAAAGTATACCTGCAGTGTAAAACTTAATTTGAGTTTGCCTATTAAAGCTGTTTGGATTTCTCAGGTATGGTCAGTCCGCCTGAGCTTTTTTCAGAGTAATATTTATTTGAATATCACTGCACTAACCAGATTAAAGAGTCAGCCAGTCTCCCTTTCATGATGCTAGCAGTCAGCTTAGCTCAAAATGGCCACAAGGATTCCATTTTGGAAACAAAGATGTGTTGTAAAGGGGCTACATAGGAGGGATACTAAAAGTCAAACAGGAGGCACCCATACCTTCCCTTTGTTAGTTAAGCTGAGAAGTAGAAGGAGATCTATCCAAGTTTTGATAACATTGCTATTTAAATTCATACTGAATTAGAGAATTAGCATCCCAGTTTAGAAAAGCTGTAAATGTTCATAATAGTAGTAACAAATCCCACTTCTCAAGTTTTTTACCCAGTAGTACAAGTATTTGATAACTGGAACTCTAAGGTATTCTAAGGCCAAGTCTAGCACTGCTGTTCAGATCGTCGGTTCTTATATGAAGTACATCAAAAACAGTCCAAAGTTCAACATTTAAAGAAAGAAAAGTTTAAGAAAAAGTTAAGAAAGCTTCTGCACCAAAGAGTTCCTACCAGGTAGAAAGGCCTGCTAATGTTAATTTGTTAACTTTATGTTAAATGTTAATTTATTAGTTATAATTTCAATTAAATGTCCTTCCCCCACATATATACTTAGGCAGGCTATATACATTTTCATTTTCTACACACCAGGATATTTTTAAACTTATGAATCAGAGTAGCATTGTTTTACATCTAAGGGATGGAATTATTAAGGGTCAGAAAGCTCTTTCCCTAAGTTTCCTTCACCAATAAGACAGAAACATCTAAAGCTGGAAGGAACCTTACATGTCATCTAGTCCAGTCATCATCATCTTCATTTTGTGCATAAGGAAAGTAAGGACCAGAGATTAAGTAGCTTGCCCAAGGTCACACAGATGAAATGAAGAAGACCTAGGTCTGAATCCTTTCCACAAGTCCCGTTTTCTATCTAATAGACCATGCTGCCTTTCCCCACCCCACCCTTCACCCCCAGCCATGCACTGCCCAAGTCCTTATGCTAGAATCTCAGTACTTGAGTTTTACTGATTCCACTTATGTTTACAGTCTTAGAAAATGGCCAAAACACACTTCTCAGCTTATGTTCTAATATACCACAATCTGCCCATAATAAATGAAAAAGAAGGCCATTAAAACCTAAATTTAACTTATTTTATTAAAATAAGATAAATCACTAGAACCATGGCTTACAATAAATTCATTTTCTCAGGAGCAATAAAAACAAAAACCCAAACCATCAAGAAAAACTGTATATATTCAGTTTCCTTGTTATACGAGGTATGACTGTAAAGCGACATGACAAACGGATTTTTTTTTTCTGGGCCAGATACAAATGAAAGATCAATCTTTTTAAACTCATACCTCATATAGTGCATCTCCTGGAAGACAGCTTCAAATTGGTAGGCCACTCTGCTTGCTGAGAGTGGAGAAATATACTGAGAGGAGCATAGCAATTCCTCATTCAAAAGACCGTCATTCCACAACTGGCTATCTCATTGGGTGCAAGAACGAGTCTGTTAAGTACCAAGGTATCACTCCTTAGGTCAGTAATTGCAGCAAGGCTGTATGTATGGCCCCCATTTGAGAACAGTACTATGGAGAACAGTTTATTCCTTCGCGTGATTGTTTTCTATGTGCAAAACTATCTGGTAACTTGCCATCTTTTAAAAAAATTAAAATTCCTTGGCATGATTAACACTCATTGTAGGAACTTGTATTCAGAATTCATTATCCCCTTTTCTCTGGAGTTGGACTGCCATCTTTGTTCGGAAACATCCTCTTCAGGGTCCCCCCACAAAGAATTTTAGCCATTCTTACTATAAAAATACTAATTGATCCAACAAAAATGATCAAGAGAAAATATTGCCAAATAAACACAGCCGCCTTTGTAGAGGAAAATAAGGCTCAAGGGCATCTATTTTTAAAACTCTGGCTTGTATTGCATCTTGTCTGTTAGTTATTGGTAAAATGACACCATTATGACATGACACAAAATGAGTGGAAAACATCTCATTGAGCAAACAAATAGTAGAAAAAGGCAACATGGAGTGATGTCCCTGTAGTACTTGAATTGTAGAAATCTGTAGCAGCTTTTTCTGAAGAAAAAAAAATTCATCTCATCCATTATGGTAAGAAAAGCAGAACTTTGAGGACTTTCCTGTTGGGGACAATGGTGCAAGAATGTGCCTAGAAAACCGGGAGTCTTGTGGATGTCAACGTGCATGAGTTTATATCCTCTGTGTGGGCTGCACGGTGCAGAGAGGGTTCGGAAGCACTGCGGTTGATTTTCGGTAAAGAGTGTTGTAGTAACTCAATGGAAGACAATATCTGAAAAGAGGAAGCAAGAGGGGCAGATTTCAGACAACTTCATTCAAAATTATGTCCTGGTTTTATGTCATTTTGAATATAAGGATCCAGAACACACCCCCTCTCAAGCCTGAGGAGGGGTGAGACCAGAGAATCTCTACCAACTCAGGATGGCTGGCTAACAGGGAGAAGGATGAGGGAGGTCCTTTGTAACCTCCCATTTTCTGGGAGTCCACCCTTGGGCCCTACAGCAGGCTTAACAGACATAAACCCAAATGGTAGTCAAGCCTCTGAGCAGTTCATACCTGTGGAAAAAGAGGTCTTTCTTCCTTAACTTTCTTCACACAGTCTGCTACAAGCCTCTTCATGGCTTTGGGGCAATTCTTGTATAGCTTGCTGAGATCTGGAGATGCATACCCTCGACCAACCATAAATATAATCTAAATGAACAATAAGAGTGTTATGGCACCAGGTTAACCTTTCATTTCATTAAATATGGGTCCCCATCAAGTCAACTGTTGAATGGCCTTTACTTTTGGTAGCTGCACTCACCTGATCTCGGTTGTTGATGTGTGAATATGGTAGTTCCCCTGTCATCAGTTCATACAGCACAATGCCATAGGAATACACATCTGATTGAAAGCTGAATGGATTATTGTCCTGCATGCGGATAACTTCCGGAGCCTGAAAAAGAATTAATCACTTTCTATTAACATTATCTGGGGAGGGTTGAGGGATGATATTATGTTAGAAACCATTTTTGCTTTATAATACCCAGGAAATATATTTTAGCTCCCATTAATTAGGAGAGGAGGCTGAAGGCAGACTTTTCTAGACCTCCCTTACAAATGTCGGGGGAGGGGGGAGAATAATAAAATTGAGGAGAGAGAAGAGATGAAGTCTAATCTGAAAATGGCTGATCATACTTGGGAGAATAGCTGCATGTATAGAAAGCTTGATAGGGAAGCTGTGAGAAGGGATGCCTGAAGTTCACAATTCTGAATTTGTTGAACTTATACATAGTCAGTTACTAGATAAGTACTTGTTAAATGAATGGATAATGTGCCTCTTCCAAGAGCCCCCAAGGAAGACAGCTTTTACAGAAGTTGACCCATTCCACCCACAACCCAATTAAGAAACTAGAGTTCTGGCCTTGTTTTTCAACATCTTAAAAGATCATATCATCCAGGACTGATAAAAACTACAGTAGGGTTGAACCCAGCAGGCAGATTTTAACAGTGAGAAAACAAGCTGTCAATAACCTCTATGTGGACTGCCTGCCTCTCCTGCAGGTGTAGCCTACTAAATGAGACAATAGAAGATTATATATTCAAGCTGTTAACTGTGACTAGGCAAATCACTGCCTCTCTGTGCCTGAAATTATATACTTAAAGGGAATAAAACAGAGAATGAAGACAAATGAGGTGTTATTTGTGAGATTGTTTAGAAGCAAAAACAAAAAAAAAAGTAGAAGAAAGCCAAAGCTTTATTTCTCATATAAAGTGCTTAGTTTAATATGTGCCTTAAACTATGACATTTATCAGGCTTAGTTGGACTATATAGTAATTGAAGCAGGGCTAGGCGCTCCCATCTGATCAGGTAAGTAAGAAAGCTAAATTTCAATGGAGATTATTTCCTTACCATCCAGAGAACGGAACCTGTTGGCTGTTCCACTTGCTGAGAACCACTCCATCTAGATTTTACTGTTGCCAAACCAAAGTCTCCTATTTTCACTGTCAGACCTTCATGAAGAAATATATCTAAAAATGTGTTAAGGAACCCATTTTCAAAAAAGCACAGACCTTGAACTGGACCACAGAGTGTAGTCATCTGCCCCATGCAGATCCCCCACCATGATCTCTCCAACAAGTAATTGAAACTTCTTGAATATTTCCAATGATAAGGAATTCACTACCTTACTGAGGAGCCCATTCTGTTGTTCTTTACACTAAATTAAGTATATCTACTAATTGATCCTAATTTTCTTCTCTGGAGGCAAGCAAATTAGGTTTAACTCCTATTTCTTTTTTGTCCCTTAAGATTTTCCTGTTTTTAAAGCTA